CCCATCATAATAAGTGGGTGTGGACCTAGCTGGACCCTTCAACCAGCTGCGAGGGCCAGTTGATGTGTTGACGTCGGCCGACGTTGCCAGCGACGAGAACGGTTTCCAGTATACTTTTGGGTGACGCTGCCTGACTCCCGAGCAAATCTCATGACAGTAAAGGTGAACCAAACGTGCCAGCTGTTCATTTTAGTGCGGGGTCCGCTGCGTGTGAGCAGCTTGTAGCCCTTAAGAGCCGGTTGCCCAAGAGCCCCATGCCTGGCAGCTGTGCTTGTAGTTATCCAGCTTGGGTGGTGTGTGGGCAAAGGATCATGATCAGCATTCCCGAATCCGCGGGGTAGGTTATGGTAGGCTCTAGGGTTTGAGGCTTGAGAGGTAGCGTTTCAGGCTCGCTTTGATCGTCCTTTCGCAAATTGGAGGACAAAGGATACATGACAGACCGGAACTTGCATATTTATCAATTACATTCAATTACCGTGCTTTTGGATGGGCTGTGTGTATCAACATGATCGAAGGTACTAACTCATTGATCGAGAACATTGAGTCAGGCTGTCCGCGAGTCATCGACATCACTACGACGTCGTCTATCGGATGATCGCTTTGCTGTGCAAGCATGCGCAAGCGCGCGCGGCGCAAGAGCTGTTCGCTGTACATTCCATTCCATCGATGGCACGACACCCCAAAGGCCCTATAGACCTATAGACGAGCATCCGGATGATCCAAAAGCTTCTTGAGAATTTGGAATCAACATGTTGGGTACACGAGGGGGGTTGGCCCCAACTCCAACATGCAAAGGGTCAGAAAACCATGCCGTTTCACAGGTTTTTTTGGGGGGGGGTTCGGGACACTCAACTTCTCGTTGCTGACCGTGCTATGCCATCAACCACCTTCTACCCTTTTCTGCCCTACTCTCCCCGCTTCTCTCTAGCTTCGCCACTGGAGGTCCGCCAGGTTCGCGTGTTGGATCGTGGTTTGCATCGGCGCCACGTTGGCACCATCCACATGGGACCAGCTGAGGACGGGGGTCAACAACCTGGTGCAATGGAGGTGCCCAGAAGCCAAGGGAATAGGGTTCAAGAAACACCGTCCAAGAGTGCGTCCCTCCGAAAGATTAAAGGAAAGAGGTGTCTAAAGCGAACCTAATGTAGACTCTTGATTCCCAAACACCCGCCTCATGTGGATGCACGGACTTGCGGACGGTAATCGACGCGCCCCCACGCAATCCCTTGCTGGATTTCCAGCGGGTACTGGTGGGTAAATGGTGTGAGACCACGAATGACAAACTAGACAGAAAAACGTACACATTAAAAGAATCACTCTACGGGAACCAGGCGTCTACGAACAACAAGGCATGGATGGCATGGTCTCTGAATTCCGAATTGGAACCTGTTTTCAAGATGGGCTGAACACTATCTGAGAGAAAACCAGGCGATCTGCATCTAATTTAGGAGGCATCTGGGTGTTTTATATACTGTCGAATGGTTTACCCCTGAACAGGGCGTAACGTACATGCTGGATAAACGCATCTTGCTTATCTTTAGACACTTCGGGTAAGTTTGGCGGATTGTAAAACCTCTTCACTCTTCATGTGACATGTTTTATTAACCCTATACCTAGATCTCTTCCAACTATGCAACATCTCGCATGTTCCATCTGTAATGAAAGCTTGCAAAACATGGCAGTTGGAACACGTGGAGGACACACTTTATCCCTGAGGCGGAACCCCATCGGTTTCCCTTGCAGGCCCGGTGGCTCGCCCTTTGAGAAGATCGGCACGTCCGCCGTGGCCAGCAAGTACCACCTCGATGGACGTGGCTCACGGCCAAGGCATGGCGTGTTGGAGTGGCAGCCCCGGGTTGGGCGTGCCAGGGTCGGTTGCCAGGTGACCCATACAGAAGGATGATGTCACTTTCATCATCTCTCACTAGGCTCATCCTATGGGTGTCCTGGCTGGAGGTCCATCAGTAGTGTAGGGTAGTTTATGGGTGATTCGCTGGGTGATCCAGGAAGCCTCGAAGATGCTGGACTTCATGATGTCAAGTACACTTGGTCGAATAGGGATGTCGGGCTTCATGAAATTTCGGAGCTATTGAAAGGTGGTTCCAAGACTGAATCATAATGGTTCCCTGCTACAAGAATACTCAACTACCAAGAGATACCAAGAGTCTGGCCAATATCTAGTCACTGTTTGTAAGAATGATGGCAGAACTGGCATGATGATGCTCGAGGAATTGTTCAACCACAAAAACATAAGGCCCGCGCCATAATCGTCTATTTTGTAGGGGGACTGCATGCTGCAAACATGTCAAGCTTCTAAGAAAAATGATATTCAAACGTTCAATCTCCAGGAAGACAAATCCCGGCTGCATCCGGTCGCCAAATAGTCTGACGTCTGAGAAATGATTGTCATGCCCATGGGCGATCCCAACAAACGCAGCAAAATGGCTTTGCATTTAGTCTACACATGTTCTTTAAAGAGAAAAGATATGAAAAGATCAGGGAGTCATGGCCATCTCTCAGGGCATGGGGAGTCATGGCCATCTCCCCTCCTCTGGCATGGCTATGAAAAGATCTGGGACAAAAGATCCTCTTTCCAAAATGTGAGAGGAGACCCCTCACGTTCCACGGGGGCCCAGGTAGTCAATCCATTCTGACCCTCGGGCCGTCGGGCGGTTCGTTTCCGGCGTCCCACGCGCTGCCGCGCCTGGTGTCCGTGGTGGTCCACAGGGAGGCCGAAGCTTCGAACTGGGCCTCCCAACCTGGAGGAAAAGCTGGAGTCGTTGCCAAGAGGCATACTCTCCCTGGAACTAACATAGACCACGTCCTTGACGTCCCAGGGAAGACGGTTTTTGCATGTTTTCCTCTACCAACCAGGGGTTTTCAGGTTCCATGTTAGTCTTCCAGGGTGTATGTCCAGACTGAAAGCGGTACCGACATGGGTCATCAGTGGGGTAAAGGGATCCCGTCCCAAGCCAACCTATTCAGCCAAAAACCAGGCTCGATCAAGTTTAGAGGGGTCAAATGGCACCAGCGGTGGTAAAAGTAAGTATATAACGATTCCATACTGTGGTTGTGTCTGGGACTGACGCAGGTGCAGTCGCTTGGCTTCTGGGCTTTTCGGTGCATCGAAACAGAACAAAACACCTCGGCCACTCTAGGTATTCTTTTGGCCAAACCGCCATTCTAAGAAGGCCAGGCCCAGTCCCCTTCAATTGAACCTTCCCATCAGCACTGGGTTAGGAAACTATGCTCTTGTGGCCTTGCGGTTTCCTCTTGTGGGTCCTCTGAAACACATGAATTTTATCTAGCATCTATGATTCCCGAAGGATTTTTGATCAGGCTCCTCCTGCTCAAGCCTCAATTTGGAAGAAAAACTTGTCGAGTCTTCTCCAAGGGCCTCATTCTACTTCTACACCTAGTAGTGATCATTGATATGCATATGTCCGTAACTCATTGGCCACGCCCGGAGCCGAAACAAAAAGCCTGCGCCAATTTGGGAAGAATATGGAATAGAGGGGCTGGTGCCAGGTACCCTGCACGAGTTGGTTGTGCATTTGGGGCATCCCCTCTATTGCATCCAAGCAGTCCAAAGCCCCATCAACCGCCATCCCTGGAACTCACATGGAAGTGGGAAATCCCCTGTTTTTGTAGAGGAACATCCTCCAAGGGGCCCATGCCATGTGAGTTTCCCAGGAGTTGGTGACTAGGGCGGGACCCGAAGCGCCAAGCCCCACCCGGATGTCCTCGCCTCCGGTGAGGTCTGCGAAGCCCAACGAGACCAAAGGGCTGGTGGAAGCGCCAAGCCCTCGGGGCGGTGCTGCACTGTGGGGGGTGCTGGTCACATGCTGTTTTTCCCTCAACATCTCTCCAAAGGTCTCCAAGGGGTTTTTGGTACTTGAGGGCATGTTTCATGGTACATCCTTGAATGTATGTCAACCCCCCAAGCCTGAACAGGTGTTACACTAAGTTACACTCCAAATGGTGAGGGATTGGTTAATTTATGACATCAAGACTCCATCCCCAGAAGTCTCCCAACAACCCCCACGCGAGGTCGAAATCCGCCATGCCACGCCATCCGGGAGGAGGTTCCAACAGCAAATGCACCTGTCCAGCGCCGATCCAAGGTGCCACTCCGAGCTGCACGTAGGTCCGCCCTCCTGACGACCAGAGAGTTCCCAAAGCACCGGACCGGTAGGGCACAACGGGGCGGGCCGGTGGTGCATCTGGTAAAGAGCCGTTCTGAGGGCTTGTGGCCGCCCCCTCCGTCTAGAAGATCTAGAAGATGGTTGGTGCTGATTGTGCTGTGAGGGTCTAAGCACCTTCTGAGGATCTGGGCCCGGGGCCCTAGGGACAAAAGGGAAGGTTTTATGGTCTCTTTTTTGTGAGTGGAGCCGTGCAATTCGGGTTGTTGCAGCATATGCTGGTTCTAATTATCAGATTGTATGCCGGCGCGAAGTTAATATCTCTTGTGCAAATCCGTAATAGCCACCCACCCCATAATAAGTTGTTTGGTGGGAATAGCCCAGCATCTAAGTGCAAATGCAGCCGCATTGTTCTTCTAAGATCAACATGACATGAATTTAAAACTATGCTAGGATGGCATACGTGTGTATGTGTGTGTGTGGGTTTCTTCCTGATCAGCCCTCGTCCGAACAGCATACACCGGACCCCCCCAGCCGCCCTGGCCCCTGACTCAGCCTGGTGGAGGGCTGGCCATATCCAACTGCACGGCGATGGACGGCAAGGGCCATGCCGGCAAAGGCAACTGAAAACCCTCATTGCCTTACGAGGCCAGCGACTCGCCCCGCTTTTGGCGCCGGAAAAGCCCGTAGTTACAAGGAAGTCTGAGGCAAAGCATGTGGGTGTCGAATGAATTTATAGGCCCTCGACATAGATCAGCATAGCCTTCACCTGGGACCTCTTTCAAACGTCTCTCAGGTACAATCCTCAAGCACTCGGCACAGCATTTTGGATCTTGTTGCATGAACAGAACACTGATGTCACTGCTCCAAATAAAAACACTGCCTCCGCCACACTGAAGTTTAGACACCATCCCTTCACACATGCTACAAGTACCATATTCCAATTCAAGCCATTAACACCTCCACGTTTGCTGAAAGCTGTTGCCACATGTTGCCACCACCGTTCGAATACAGCACCCATCTTGAACGCACGCATGCTGGTCACCTGGTCACATGGCTCGTCCATGGCTCGTCCCAAGGCACTGGTGACGATGGGCCCATCACCGTCCTCCAGGTCCAGAGTCCAGGCACCGCGGCTCGACGGCGCTTCGTAGGTCAAGGGCATCGCCCAAAGGGTGACCTCGACGGCGGTGTCGCGAGGTTATAGCCAGAGCAGCAAAGGACACCAGCGGGTGACTGGGTGACCGTGGTGAGAAATCGTGTGGAGACCAGAGCGTGGAAGTCCAGTTGGAAACATGAGAAACTCCCCTGAAGATTTCATGGGGTCCTGGTTGCATTCGGGTGTGGATATCATTCAGGTCGACCACCGGTTTTCGGGTTGGGTGGAGGATCGGTTTTCCCAAAACCTTTCTCTTCAGTCCTCCAGGAGTAGATAGGAGATTGGAACATGCAAAAAACCATGTACCTGGGCCTCCTTAAGGATCCTTAAGGGGTGCCTAATGATAGCCCCTTAGAGGTTAAGGGGTGCCCACTAACCACCCCAAGCCGGGGGCCCAGGTATATAAGGAACCTGTTGATCTTTACGCTTTGGCTCACCGCTTCGATCGATCAGTCCAGGCGACGGTATAGGCCGACATCGACGCCATTGGATCCAACAGCACCGCCTGAACCTCAGGCGGTCGGATGGACTTGCTGACCTGCTGGAGGGAGGGTGGCTGCTGTCTTGAGGCTGTTTGCGGGACAGCAGACCCACAGCCATGTCAGGTGTCGAAAAGGTGTTTTCCCCATGGAAACTCCATAAGCCACCGGTGATAAGACTTCACAGTTCAAGAGGTGTGTGTATATATATATATATGTGTGTGTGTGTGTGTGTCCAACCCTGGACAAAGGGTTTTCCACCACCACTCTTTCTATCTTACAAGAGCAGGGGGCAGAGGGATCTCCAGTCGTGGCCTCTGCCAACGAAGCTCCACACTGGACGATCAGGAAAACGTACCTGCGCCGTGATACCACTCCACTCTTCCTTGCTGTGGTTTGATGCCATGGTTGTTTGATCACGATACTCTCCCCTCAAACAGGTTTCCCACCGCAGTCCTCAGCCACCGGAGAGTTACAGTCAGCCGCTTGTGCTTTGCAGCTAGCCGCGCGAGTGAAACTTTTTTCAACAATTCAAGTCTTTGGACCTTTTCGCCTTGCTGTTCCATCACCTTCCTTCTCACCGAGACAATTGCGTTAACTGAAAACCCAAGTTCGAAGTGTGTCCTGCTCAGCCGTCCCACTCGGGTGCTGAGTGTGATCCCCGTCACAGGGGCGCCGACCTTGCATGGGAAAGCAACCACCCCAACGCACCACCGCTCACTGGACTCTCACAGGAAGGCACCGACACCCTCACAGAATCAACTGCCACACCGGCCGCCGGGCCAAAAAACGGTTCCTTGAAGAATACATCGGATTTCAACTCTCAGTTTCCAGTTTTCAGCTTTCAGATCTCGGATCCGTCATTTCATTTCATGTCTTCAAATCATGTGCGTGTTTCCACGTTTGCTATATTGATGCCGTGATTCTTTTATCGACAGAACTCAAGGATGGGCATTACAGCTCTTCAGCTTAATTCGAGATGCATGAACACACATCTACCAACAAGCTTACATCTAGCACCACCTTACAACATACTCACCATCGACACCAGAGATGACACCTTCAACAACAACAAGACAATACAACTCGGCACTTCTCCGCTGCTTTTTGCTGCCGCGCCGCGCCGCGCCATAGCTACCACCACGACATGCATTTTCCGTGGCCCTACGCTCATACCACGCCACCACCATTACCCACCACACAACCTCAACCCACATGGCCGCTGCCACAGCCATCAACTGCACCCACTTTTCCCACGACACACCCATCGGCATACCCTCACCCACAACCACAACCATTTCAACCACCACCTTTTTTGTCCAACCCTACCGCCACTACACTGACCTACGGCACACCATCCACTTGGACGTTTGTGCAACCATGTCACGTGCCACCGCAGCCCACACATCCAACTCCAGTTTTTCCGACAGCAGCACCTCCCCCTTCATACCTGTTACCACCACAACATCCCACACCACCGGCAGAACTTCCTCCCCCCAATACCCTGACCCATCCCCCTCCAACACAGCAACAGACTGCGATTACCAATCATCCATCCACAGACCCCCAATGCGCCATCCCCCAAGGCGTTTGGCAGCCCTATTCAGCCTTTCCCCCAGTCACACAGCCTCCACCCCAACCGTTGCCCCCGCCACCACCTCCACAAATCATCAACGCCTCAACACCAGTCCAACCTCCACCCCAACAGCAGCCACCATCGGATCCAACACCACCAATCCAACCCATCCCCACGACTGCCCCGGACACTCCATTGCCGGTCCAAAACACGACCCCTCCAGCTACCGTCTCCCAACACTCTGCATCCCCATCGCTAGTATCAGCCACACCAGCCCCCGGATCTTCACTACCAGCACCAGACAAACCTGGCACCAATGCCTCACCAGCACCACAACCACCTTCCCCGCAACCACCACACAGCAGTCGCCGCCACCACCACAAGAGCCGACGCAAGTCCGACCATCACCACAGAGGACGCCACCGTCACCGCCGCCGACATCGCCATCACCGCCACTCCAAACATCACAGCACTACCCGGCGACGGCGGTCACCTTCAACATCCACTTCCACATCCAGCCTTACGCCATCCCGCAGTCGCTCACCACCACAACCCATTGATTTACGCCCTAACACTGAACACACCAACCCAGAACCCACTCAATTTCCCACCACAGCCGTCCTCCGTCGCCCAATCAACCGTTGGCGACCTCCAAACAACTTTCACACCTTTACACCTGCAGACCAAATCCTGGAATGGCTCGAATTCCATGCCACCCAACTCGACAATCCCAACCGCCCACAACACCAGTACATTGCCAATATCCTCACAGACTGCAACATCACCTACAAGGAGATCACCGATTTCCGACAATATACTCACGCCAAGTGGAACGACACAACTCACCAATACGACCAATTCCAGTACTACGCCATTTCACTTCCTTTCCTCAACACCAAAGCCACTACACCAGAACCACCTGCGGTTTCCCGCGCCACATCAACCCACCGGGAAGTCGCCCACATCAACGCAGGCCACACAGGCCCCGTCGGCAACATTTCCAACATTCTACGCCAAGGCCGATTTTTACCCAGCACACTCCACTCTGCCAACTACCCTGGATTTTTTGCCCAGGGCGTTCGCATCACCCACAACCAACCCCATGACCACAACGAACTTGCCCGCATCATCCACAACACCTGGCAACTCCACAAGAACTCCCATTCCCTTATCATCACACTCCTTGCTTGGGGTGCGGCCACAAAATATACCTCCGGAGGTGAGGAACACGCCATGAACCTCCTCAACGACCACCATGGTGCAGTCTTTCATCAGAAGGGCCGCTGCTGGGTGATCCACCCGGACCCCGCCATTGTCAAAGGACTGGCCTGGTCCACAAACTCCACTCCACCGGACACATAACACCACTATCCCACATCTTTACACCACCACCACCTCCACATCCACTTTTGGTCTCACACCACCACCTAACCTTTGCTCGTAGCAGCCAAAAAGAGCCTCCCGCAGCGGCCACGCGAATTTTGAACCCTCAATTTTTCAAGCTCTGCAGTGTTTGCTGGAACTTTTTCTTCAATTTATTTCGGCTGTTCTGATGAAGTATTTCACATGTCAGATTCTCATGTACTTGACTGTTCAATCGGCATTGCATTTTCGTACTTTGCCTGTGGAAATTTGATGCTCGTTTAATTCATATGCACGACCTCGTGATGATGCGCTCCCTCAGACTCGCCGCTGTCCGGCTGCTTTGGCGCGCTGCTGCAGCAACCAGTGACGATTCCGTGCTATTGTACATCCCTACATCTCCGAATCATGAGCAGCACACCGACACCTCTACGCAACGACACCTCAACTCTCATACACAGAACCACAGTGGTACTCTCGCAGCTGCAAAACCTACTCAGACAAGCAACCGATAGTATAGCACACCTCCACACTCAGCTACTCCACCATATCCACCAAGTGGATCCCACTTTCCGCCAACACTTTCAGCCACTTCCAACCCCGCCCAACCACCCTATACGTTTACCATCCACTACCTCTTCTTGCGACTCAGCACCATCCAGACCACCCTCCGTTTACCACCACCACCCTCAAAAGACTCAGACGACACTCCCACAACAACCCCAGATCCACAACCCACCACAACACGCAAGCGGAAGCAACCACCCCCACCACCACTGAACCAACAGGCGGACTGGGATGCTTGGGACGGCGACGCCGACTGTCGCTTGGTCGAACTCAAAGAAAACCCCAGACTTCGTCCCAACTGGACCACTGTGGCTCGCCGCGTGGGCTTCTCCGTAGAGCAATGCCAGGCCCGATGGCAAGAACTCAAAGACATGCAACGTCAGCAGGACCAACAGCTCTTCTCCACACCACTACCAACCGCACCACCAAGACAAGCACCTTCCCCATCACCAACACCCACATCACCAGCAGTTTCCCCAGCACCACATTCACAACCGGATTTCTCCCCCTCCCCCCAAACAACGCCACCGACTCCACCACATCAAACGACTCCTGCTGCTGTGCTGCTGACGCCGGCCGCTGAGCGAGCACTTAGTGAAGACAGCCATCCGGAGAAATCTCCACTTACGCCTGTTGGCAGTTATTTCATTTGACCCGTTTCACCCACCTCTCTTTACGGCGTGCTGCAGGACAAATCCGCTGACGTGCACAGACTCTTAGTTTTTCAAGCCCAGTCTCCTTTCACCAGTTTGCCCAACTTCGTTTTGTCAGTTTTCAGGCTCACTTCAGCTCCGCAGCCCTTTGTGCGCCATTTTACTCCATCAATTGTCATGGCCAATCCTCGCGCTCGCCCTCATAACAACACCGCCGACACAGAGCACTACCTGCCACAGCGCCCTCCGAACTGGCTCCAACCTTCGATTGGCACCCAGCCTGACTTTCAATCCTTCAACAGCTCTTTGGACCTCCTCTTTATGGTCAACCAACACCTCCGCCATCACCCATTTCACACAGAACCTATGCCAAGCCAAACCTATTTTCAAGACCAGCGAGCATACAACCTCCTTTACCGAATGCGCGGTGACCTGATCTTGCTGGACCGCTTGATTGACAACCTCTCCCAGGCTCGTCGACTACTTCAATTTGTCACCACCGGCCCCGGGCTCCCAGGACAATACCGCATCAACCCCACAGCCTCACTCTCCAGCAGAAACCTGGCCATTATACACGACATACCGCCAGGTTTTCCACTACCACCCGGACTTTCCAGTCGTTCACCCTCTCCCTCACCACGTACCCCACCACAAGACGCAGCACGTCTACACTCATACTGGACAGGCCCCCCACCACAAGCCACCCCTGCTACCAACATCCACACTACCACTCACACCAGGGAACGTTCACGCTCCCGCGACAACATCTCACACCGCAGTGGCTAACTACAGCAACATCCAACCTCAGGCTATACGGCAGCCACTACGCAGTTTGCCAACTGTGAGACGGCATCCCTTCCCACGGCTGCTGCTA